ACTGGAAGAAATAAATTGCGACTTGGGAGACACAGATTTGGGTAAAACTGAGTGTTTCAAAGACGGGAGTCAGGGGCTTATAAAGACAAAAAGCCAAGAGGCTGTCAAAAGTTGCCTGATGAGAATTGTGACTGACACTGACGTGCCAGTCAGGAAACACGTGTCCTTGAGGAATCACAGCTTATTTCAGGCTGGGGGCTTAGTAAGTGGCTGAAGTTCCTGGCAGGTGTTCCGGATGACTTCATTAGGGCAATAAATACTCACGGGGCCGGACTCTCTGTGGGCTGAGATGAGCGTAGGTCACACCTCCTCCGTGAGCCCTCTCGAGCAATGCAGACTCCATTTTTGTTTTTCTTTCACAAAAGCAGTCTTCTGCTGCCAGGAGCGGTGACCCCAGCTCAGCCTGGAGGACATCCAGGTGAGCTTCAGCTCACTGGCTAGTGCTGGAGGAAGAGCGGCGTTTGCCATCGATCTCTTCCCTGCAGGCACGGCAGCGCCCACGCCAGCTGAGAATCAGCACAGCTACCTGTGCTCAGGCTTGCGCTGGGGTGGGGGCGGGGAGCGGTCCTCCACCCTTCTAGGCTCATCTGGCTGGTCTAAGAATTAACCTGACATGAGGCAGACTAACAGGAGAGAAATAAACAAAAATTGAGTAACACATATATTTCCTGTGTATACCGATGGGAGACAGCCAGGGTAAACAGAGTGAACTCACCAAGAAGGCTGCAGCCCTCACCTCCAACATCCTCTTCAGCTAAAGACTAAAGAGGAAGCTGCAGGCAGCAGTCAGTACAGAGGTCAGTTACATGGAATGCCCGGAGGAATGAGAAGTTCAGTTAGACAAGGGCTGGAAAGGTGTCACTTTGGTTTAGACGTGGGAGTCGTCAGTGACTCGCTGCGTGGAAATGGAGGAAGGGAAGACACACCAGAGTGGGTGGGGACAGACTGCTGGTGGGGAAGCAGGCAGATGTCTCAGGAAGTTTGTCGTCAGAAGTAAGACTGTCTGGTTCACGTGAGAGGGATGAAACAGAGGGAGATGTTTACAGAGGGAAATTTGAAATCATCACTGAGAAGGAAGAAGGTGCAAGTTAACTAAATAAAAGTAGCAGGATCGCTGGGCAGTGCGTGACTTTCTTCAGCAGCACTTAGATGCCTGGGGGGATGTGAGGGGGAAGAGTGAGAATCAGTCTGTTGTGCAGCTGGGAGTTTTGCCAAGTAAGCCCACTGAAAAGACAGGAAAGGGAATAAAGGATCTAAGTAGGACTTATTAAAAATTTAGCTCCTGGAAACTGTTGAGAAGGAGAGTATTTCCCTTACCATCTTACTTTCAGTGACTGGGAACCTGCAAATTAAACTGACAAAAGCAGATTACTGTGAGAAAAGAATTACGTATGAATACATGCAGGAGTTCACAAAGCAATGGGATTTGAAGGAGTGGCTAGAAGTGGGGGCTTATATGCAATTTAATAAGTGACAGGAAAAGGAGAAAGGCATTTTCTGAAAAACAAATGACTTCTTGGTGAGAGGGGAGAGAAAAGGGCACTTACGGTAGAACAAGTGACATTTAGGGAAAATAGAGAACGCCTTAGGAGAATGTACGGGAGAGACGGCAGGTTTGTGACAATGTCCGTTAGAGTCTGGTGCTCGGAACTTGTCTCTAATTTTAAGACTGTTTCCAAAAAGTAAACAAATAGAGAAAATGAAAAGCCTGAGGCAGCTTTCGTTTCTCCATGAGGAAACATCTGTGAATCAGTGTTCAAGGTAACATGCAGAAAGCCTGATGGCACCGTAACGATTGTTGGGATCCATCAGAACACTGGAACAGCCACAGCAGATCCAAACGCTGTCCGTCTAAATCTTTAGGTCTAGACAGCGATTAACGCTGGAAAACTCAAAAAGCTATCAATCAGCACGGCTCAGTATCAACAAGTTTGGTGGGTGGCTGGGTGCTGTTAAACAGCTGGCATCCGGGCTCAGTTTGAGGATGTAATACTCCAAAGTGCTGGGTTTTACTCCCAAAGTCTGCTTAAAAGTC